AATAATAATAATAATAATAATAATAATAATAATAATAATAATAATAAAATGATAATAATAATAAAATGGCAGACTGCATATTTCAGGCTGCTCTATTTGCCCTCCTGCCCTAGATGGTGCCAACAGAGCATCTAAAGCCAACAACTCTTAACTTTGATTATCTTCACAATCTCAAGCAATTTTACACAGATACCACAAGATTCAGGCAAGAATGACAGAACCTCATGAGATTCCAGTTCCCTTTTTAATTTGTGTTCTTTATTTTTTATTTTCTGTCATAATGCCGTTGCTCATTGCATAAAAAGATTACCACTCCTTAATATATTTCGGGGATAGGTGTTCATTCTGAAGACATGCCAGCGGGGAACTACAACATCACATGCTTCTGATACAGTCTACAGGTAGCCCTCAACCATAATTGAGCCCAAAATTTCCATTGCTAAGCAAGATTGTTACTCAGTAAATTTTGCCTCATTTTATGACCTTTTTTTTGCCACAGTTCTTAAGTGAATTACTGCAATGGTAAGTAAGGTGGTTAGGGTTGGATTCTGCATTGACTTTGCTTGTCAGAAGGTTGCAAAAGGTGATCACATGGGACACAGCAAATATTATAAATATGTGCCAGTTGCCAAGCGTCTGAATTTTGATCACATGACCATGGGGATGCTGCAATGTCGTAAGCATGAAAAACAGTCATGTCACTTTTTCAGCACCATTATAACTTCGAACAATTCTTATACAACTGGTTGTAAGTCGAGGACATACATGTATTGATCTTGGGGCAGAGTACAACCAAGACATAAAGAAAGAGTAACATTAACACTCCCTTCTCATCTGAACCCCTCTTCCAAAAGTCAGGAGAAGATGGGAATAAAAATGGAAACATTTCACCTCACATATTTATCCTAGTTAAGAACCGCCCATCTGCCTCACCGAGCTCTTGTTAAGTGAAGCACTTTTATGAACCCAATCAGAAACACTTAACCAAATGTACATTTCTCTTAGTGCTGTGATTGGAATAAAAAACGTTCAGTTCATGTTCTTTAGACTTGTCTGACATTCAGAACACCACTGAGTCTGTTACTTCATGTAACAGTAAAGAAATGTAAATATAAATACTTGTGCCCAAAGGAACAAACACATCACCTAAATGTTTTTTTTTAAAGCAAAAGAAACCATTTATGTGGTTGAAAGAGATCAGAACCAAATAATGTTTGGGCAAACACAATCTCCCTTAATGAAATGCAAATTAGACTGAGAGTAGTGCCAAACAATGTTTTTTCCCCTTTCAAAAAAAAAAATGTTTTCCAAGGTTTCCTATTTCTCTCTGTCTCTCTGTCTCTCCCTCACTCTGCCTTGGATAAGTAGAAATAGCAGAAAAGTACATTGGGCTGATGACCAATCTGGGAAACATTAGCCAACTCCTAGTCTTAATGAATTGAGGGGCTCTTTAAAAACACCAACCAAATGCTCCGTTCAGCCTGGCTAGGACTCAAATGCTTTCAGCCCCACTAGGATCGCAGCCAACCATTCTTAGTTTGTTTTTCTGAGGTTAGCACACCGGTGTTTGCAAGGAGGCTTTGGCAAAAGCTGGATCTAAGACCTATCAGATCAAAAGGTTGACAGCCTTCCCACATTGGGACCCATGAAGGATTCCTCAGGGGAGGTCACAAAGTAATTTTTCATCTGTATTTCACCCACTGTTTATTTGAGAGACATAAATAGTTTTTGCTTGGAGGATGGCAAGATGGCGTACCCTTGGCTGTTCTGATTAGATAATAAATCTTTTAACAGAATAATTTTTTGGGAGCTGCATTTGTTTGTGATCTATTTGTGGGCTCTACATATGGTAGGCAATAGATTTAATAGATTCCTCCTCCCATATGTCCCCATCCCAATGTATTATACTTCAGTTTGCAGAATTCCCAGACTATGCTTCCTTTTATTCTTCCTTTTTGGGAGGGAATCATAGTTTCAGTTCCCCAAGTTGGGAAAGTGGCCTTAAACTTTTTCAGAGCTGAACTCACCAAGATGATATTAGTTTGCTCGAAGCTTTTGATATTTCCTTTACATCCTTATTCAGCTCTCGCTTGGTTAGCTGACCTTGGATATTAAGCAGATATTATTATATATACAAATAGTCTTCGACTTATGACCACAATTGATCCCCACATTTCTGTTGCTAACTGAGACATTCGCTAAGTGAGTTTTGCCCCATTTTACAACCTTTCTTGCTATAACTGAATCACTGCGACCTTGCAGCTGTTAAGTTAGTATGGTTGTTAAGTGAATCTGGCTTCCCCATTGACGTTTCTTGTCAGAGAATCACAAAAGGTGATCACTTGACTTGGGGCACCGCAGATGTCATAAATACATATTAGTTGCCAAGCGCCTGAATTTTTGTCACGGGGATGTTGTAAATGTGAAAAACAGTCACAACACTTTTTTCAGTGTTGTAAACTTGAACAGTGACTAAATGAATGTTTGTATGTTGAGGTTACCTGTAAGAGGAACAGGAGTTGTTCATACCTTATTTACACCTGGGTACCTAAAGAAGTTAGGGAGTGGGACATAGCCATTAGTTCCATTCCAGTTGCTTATATGCTGTTATTTACAGAGCATAAATGGTCGCACAATCAGCACAATATCCACAGATAAGGACCTACATGTGAACGGTTGAATACATGAGTGTTTTTCATGATCTGGACCCTTCTTTATGCAGCATGAAATGACATGAAACACATGCTCCACTTATGCATTTCACCTCATTGCAGATGTTAAGAGTGATGGAGACGCTGTGCTCTATCCTTCCAATGGAGAAAAATAATGTGGAACAAATGGGTACACAAGCAGCTGGAGGAAGAGCTGTAGAGGGCTAGACAAATATGGAGCAGTTTGCATCTTTAAGCCATCTTTGGCAAGGATATACCTGGTAGCACACCCCATGGAACACGCCATGGCCAACTCATCACAGCTAACTTGCAGTGGTCAACTCACCATGGCCAACTCGCCATGGGACAACTTGCTGTGGGACAGAGTTACACTAATATCAAAGAAGTGGTGGAATAGAGTCATTAAACAAAAGATGCAAAAGGAGGGACAAAATGAAATGTGAATGACAAAACTTAAAATAATTTTTTAATTAGTTTAAATAATTAAATTGAATTGTTGAATAGTCCCACAGCAAGTTGGATGCAGTGAGTTGTCCCATTCTGGGGTTGCCTCCCTGCAGCACTGTTGACAGTCACGATTGGCTTCTGTTCAGTACCTTCTCTCTGCATATGATTTGAGAGGGGAAAATATTGGAAAAATAAAGGGCTACGAAAGGGGCCATTGTCCTGCAGCCTCCATGGGGAATTCGGGTGACAAAGGTATGCAGGAAACATCCAAGAAAGCAGATTAGAAACTTGAGCTTTGTGCTCTCTTTTAAAGCCTAAAGACTGCCATAGAACTAAGGCTTTTCCTTGGCCTCTCTTGCTCCTCTATGCAGATTGGGGAAACTGAGCTGTAAGAAAACACTGTGCTCCATCTCTGTACTTCAGATATGCAATTATTCAATCTCTCAATGGCAACACCTGACTCTATATAGCCAGATTAATTTGAGTGCAAAATAAATTCCATAACGAGAAGCAACTGCAAATGCCCCACAAAAGCTATGTTTGCTGGCAACACTGTTTCTAAACTGCAATACATTTAATCCTGATATAATTGCTTTATAATTGCTTCAATCCCTCCTATAGCACATCACACAAAATGAGATAGCTTCATCTGAGTAGTTTGAGATTTTAATTTTTAATATCTAATATTTTTTTGTTTTAATCCACACCGTCCTTCTCATGGATATGTGACCAGAAGTGAATCTTTCCCCAAAGGCATAATTAAAATAAGCACACCTATCTTTCTCATGTCAGGATTGAAACAGCAATTCTCAGTGAGACAAGTAGACAGGCTGTAACTGCCTGCTTGTGGCGCCTTGCGCTGTATCAGCATTAGAGGCTGAAGATGCCTGATTTATGCACAAAACAGCTTGGAAAACCAAAGACCATTGGAGGTTTTTAAGAAGAGACTGGACAGCTACTTGTCTGAAACGGTATAGGGTTTCCTGCTAGAGCAGAGGGTT